CTTAAATAAAAGTAGCCTGACTTTCAGAATTGCTCTGCACTGTGGTTCCCATTAAGTTGAAGGGAGCTGTGTGTGCTAAGCAACTCTGAAAATGGAACCACATTTACTTACGAACCCAAATATGAATTTAAATTCCTATCTAGGTTCCCTTCTTCGTGCTCCAAACTTGAAAACTTGACCTCCATCTCTAAATTTTGTTAATAATGAAAAGTCTGTAGAAGAGAAATTAATTATTGCTGAATAGAATGCTGGATCTCTGTTAAAGAAGTGGAGGGTTGGTGGGTGGGTGAGAAATATTTTTCTGTGTGTTTATTTTAACTTAATTGCACTTTTCATTTGCAGGCCCCCTGTGATGGATTTTTAGCACTGTGGCAGTTTGACAACTCTGACACAGGTAAATGGAGAGAACAATACCTTTAATAAAAAATTATTTTGTACTTAAAGTCATTAACGTGTGTGTGCATGTGTTTCTGTTTTAGATATAAACATTTCAAGATCTGAAGATGACTTAAGGAATGAAGGCCTGTTCTCGGATTCAACCTTAACCAAGAGTCTGACTTGTGGTTTCTGCAGGAGAGTTTTTGAGTGCACTGAAAAGTTGAAGGAGCACATACACGAGCATGCTTTTTCCATGATTCTTCCTTTTGACTTAATTGACTGTGCCAGACCTGTGCTCATTGACCTCACTGATCATGTGTCCCAGGATCAGCTTGCCCGTTTCCAATGCTCTAAGTGCCCTGCAAGCTTCACACTAAAATCAAATATGGATAGGCATGAAAAGACAATCCACTTTAACCACAAGAAGATGCAGTGTCCTGACTGCTTAAAACTCTTCCGAGACAAAACAGATCTGAACCGGCATCTCATGTCCGTGCACTCAGATGAACGTACCTTTGTGTGTCTCTTTTGCAGCAAAGGTTTTGGTACACAAAAGAATCTCACTACTCATATGAAAGTGTGTTACCTGGGCTCTGCCCAGCCAATGGGTGAAGAAGTTCTGGATCGTGTGGATCAAAATCAGGAACCTGAGGAGGTCCATCAAAGCTGTATTAAGGAAATGAGAAAATCATGAAATTGGAGGGAGATGAGATCACATGTTTTAGGCATTAATTTTTTTATTAAATCCATAAATTAAGAGGAGTATATTGCTGCATTGTTACTTGCCGAAAATGGGTTTACCATTGGATAAGCTATAACACTATAATAATTCCCAGATATTGGACAGATTGGTCAGGCATTATTTCAGTTCCAGATTTTGTAAACTAAAAACTCTAATTAGAATCAAGATGCAATTTTGTGTAAGAATATTTTTGATAGACAATATAATGGTATTTTGGATTACTCCTGATTAGAGGTTGCATTCCCTTTAAATTTTTACATGTCATGATTAAGAGCTTTGGCTTCTGTATTTTTTAAATATAAGCTCAAGCCTTTAGAGAAGATTTAATTTGTTATACAGAGATAATGGTTTTAAAGATAATTAATTTATTTTTAAAAGCAGTTTTAAAAGATTCCTTTGTAAACATAGCAATTCATGGCAGTATGTTATTTGCTGTCCCTATGTACTGTGGGGGTCTTTATGAATGGAAATGATCAGTGATTGTAAACATTTCCTTGGTTTAAAATTCTGCTTTATGGGTTCTGTTAAAAATAGTCTCAAATGGATTATTGAGAAGTATACAGGATAACTGCATTTGGGAGTGGAAGAGGGCGTGTCTCTGTGTCAACTTTGTCATCGAAGGAGATTTCCTCCTCTGATGTTAGGCATTACACAGTTAAACTATAAGCTTGTTCTGTACTGCAGCTAAAGTGAATCTGTTCTGAAAAGTACAAATTCCAGCAGATCTCAGGCATGGGAAGAGGAAGATAGTCCTACCAGAAAAGGTGAAGCTGGCCTGCTGTTTAATACAATTAGAATACGGCATTTTGAGATTTTTTTTTTAAACTTCCTTTGGCTTCCTGCCAATGTATCATGTATGTGCACTCAGCCACTTCCTCTTCCCTAAAACACTCTGGTTGTTGCCTGTATTAGGTGAGAAACTCTGTTGAACCACTGTGCAAGTATTTCTGCTTTGCTGAATGTCTTCATTTATACTAGTTTTTAAAACCACATAAAACTTCTGGAATGCTATTGGACAAAGATTAGATTTATATTACATCAAACAGATTATAAAAGAAACAGAACAACAAAAGACCTAAACTTTGCAATTGCACAACTGTGGGATTGAGCTGCTAGTTCCATCTCTGGCCCAAACTGCCAGTTAATGAAAGTACTTTGCTATCACCAAATGCCACAAGCTATTTATAAAGAAGTCCAGCTTTCTGTATCATATTTAGAAACTCTGTGCTACTTGGGCATGGTTCTATACTAGGATTTTTTTAAAATTGCTGCAGGGTTAAGAACATTAGATTATTTAGTATGCTGCTGAATGTTACCTGGAGTTATTTTCTATATCTAGGAGTAAGAATGTGGCATTCAAAAACTAAGTTTCTTCAAGTGTTTTAACTCCGTCAATTGGTCTGTACATTGTGGTTGAGCCAGCCCAATTGAATGTACATAAAAATAGATCCTCTTGCTTCAAAAAGCCTAATACTATATAGTGGGGACAGTGGAGCTTGACAATCAGCCACTGTTACTGGAAGGTTGAAGTCTAACTATAGTTCCCATTGAATTACTTTGGTTCAATTATTTGAAAGCTGTGAACTGTTTAACTTACAGCTTGCTATTTATTTTCATACAAATACATATTCGTTTGATTACTCTAACAATTGCTGTAGTTTAAGCAGGGCCGCCCAGAGGGGGGGGGGGGGCAAGTGGGGCAATTTGCCCCGAGCCACGCAGTGGCCCCCACAAGAGTTTTTCGGGGCCCCTGGAGCGGTGTCCTTCACTCGCTCCGGGGGCCCTGGAAAACTCTCGCAGGGCCTGGGCCCCCGGAGCGTCTTCCGCTCCAGGTCTTCGGCAGCAATTCGGCGGCGGGGGGTCCTTCTGCTCCAGGACCCGCCACCGAAGTGCCCTGAAGACCTGCGGCGGGGGGTCCTTCCGCCCCAGGACCCACCGCTGAAGTGCCGGGTCTTCAGCAGCAATTCGATGGCGGGGGCCCCCCACCGCCGAAGACCCCAGACCCCCTGAATCCTCTGGGTGGCCCTGAGTTTAAGGCACAGTAAGTGTGCTTTTCAAATACTCTGCCCAATGCACAAGTTGTCAGCAACTTGGTCTGGTGCGTAAGGGTTATGTAATGTGTTGGGGTTAATTTGTATATTGGTTCTTTTGATGTGTGCGACAACATAACTAGGAAACAATAACAAAACTTTTAGAAGTAGTAGTCCTGTGATTTCTCCAAAGTAGTTCTCTTGTAGCATGGCCATACCTCAGGAAAACAAGGCAGGGAAATGCTTAGTTTTGCACAAACAATATTGTATACTTGTAGGATGATTAAACATTAAGGGCCAGATTCTTTAGCCTGCTAAATCCACTTTTGCAAGCTGCACAAAGTGGGCATAAAACAGCTGAAGATGGCCAGTGGAGAATTTCTCATGCAGAGGAACGGTCTACCAGTGGAAAGCTGGAAGAGGTGGCTCTACCACCCCCAGCATGGAGGGGAAGCGGCGCCTTCTGGAGCACTGATCCACTACACTCAGTCTTCCTCTGGTGTAAATTATATCTGCTTCACTGCAGCTCTAATTTGCACCAGAGCTGGGTGGCTTAGGGCCAGGAAGCCACAAACACCACTCAACCTCACCCCCACTGTGTCTGAGCAGATCACAGACAGTTTGAGAGTCTGTTCCTATGTATCAATTATGGCACATATCATGTTAATTGATATAGCAAGAAAGTCATATTAAACACTCCTTTGTCCATATAATGCTTTCCCCTTATTGATTATTGATATATGTATAAATAAGCCTTAGAATCAACCTGCTCCTCCTGTTATGCACTTGACTAATCTGCCTATTTGATGTTTGGCAATTGCTAAGTAAATTTACTGTGCTCTTTGGCAGATGGGAGAGGAGGTGGGAAGGAACTGAGCAGTGAGAGGGAACTGTGAAAAATCTCTCTGCCCCCATGAAAAATATCTGTGGCATTATGGAAGCAGCAAATGAGGGCTTATCTAGACCATATCAGAAAGGGAGCATGAGTAACCACAGCATACCTAAAAGGACTGTTGTCTCATGACAGAGTCATAGTCATAAAGTTTAAGGCAACGGGGCTACTAAAGGGTCTGACCTCTTTATCGCAGGGCACCAACACCCTCACACTAATCCCAACTAACCCAAAGTATTACAACCCATAGGAAGTTAGACTGTTATGTGCCACAGACAGATATAATGGCCATATTAAATACTTATTGGGGGTGGGGGTTTCCCCCCTGTACAAGGGAATTAATACCTGTGTAACATCAGTCACAAATCTGGCTCCTATCTGATTTCTTCAGTGATGCTTCGGTTCAGTCATTGGAACACAAATTGCCACAATGGTAATAAATGTAGTGAAACACATATGGAACTGTTAAAGTCACTGAATACATCTTATAAATAGAAGGAGTAGGTGGATCATGAAAGAAGACCCTTGATCATTTCTTCCTCTTTTCTCTCATTCTAACCAACGCTCTGCTGGTTCTCTGATTTTGTAGCATTTTCTGCAGAGTTTGTTGTTTTGAGGTTTTTAAGTTTGTCCTTTATTATTTTGTGTTATTCTTTGTGAAAGTGTCTAGATAACATTCTTTCAACTAGATTAGCCCTCATTTCCCTAATGTTTAAGGGACTTGATTGAATTAATTTAACATCCAAATGAGATCACATAGGTGTGGAAGAAATTACTTTCTACTAGACAGGTTAATTAGGCATTTTATTGTAATATGTACAGTTGATACTGATGGTATTGATTCCTGACACCTGTGCAAATACTTATCAAACTTCTTGAGTGACTTGCAAGTTCTTGTCTTCACGGATAGGAGCAAATTTATTAAAAACACCACAAACATTAGAATTTCAGGAAACAATATAACAGATGTTATATAGTTGTATTTTTAAGAAAGTTTTCTATTACAAGTTTAAGTTCAGAATTAGGAAGTAGGAGAAGATGTGATAGGGATTATTGGTTTTACTATGTAAATAAAAAAATTGCAGTTTGAGCTTAAAAATATAAAATGCAGTCTAATGTGTAAAAGGCAAGGGGGAAAACTTGCCTCAGGTTATTTTGTGAAATACTTCTTGGCATCCAAAAGATTCAGTATTCCAATAATTGTCATGCAGTAACACAGCATATGCATAAGTTACAGATTTATAGAATAAAATGTAGTTTTATATAGCACCTTTATGCAATAGTTATGTGGTGTTTTACAGAATAGCTACTGGTATTGATGTAACTGTGTAGGAAATGTAGAAGCTGTTTCT